CGGCAGATATGCAGTTGGACCACACGTCGTCGCTGTTGTTACCAACAAGCCTGCGTGGCGGACTGCGTCCTGCGTCAAATGCTCTGGGGAATGGTTGTGAAGCTCAGAAGACGTGAGCTTTGCTGGAGGATCGGGCGGCACACCTGCACCCGTTGAACGACCATCGGTTGTCCGCGCATGAGGGTTGGCATGCAGGTCTGCATAATCGATGACAACTTCTACAGCATGCGTGGCATGTGTGGTCTGCTCTGCCATAGGCGCACCAGGTACGTCGTCCTCAGCTGCGTCAGTCATAGTCACAGCGTCTCGGAAGTTCTACAGTGGTTGACGGCTTGTGACGTTAACTTCGGCTGCGGGAGACTGAGAGGGCGAGAATGGTCGCTGCTGGCGGTACGCAAAGATCGTCGAGGTGGGTGGGGAGGCACCTTCGGACATCGTCGACGCTGAAGCCTCCACGACCGAGGGGCGAATAGCGGGCGATACTACGTCCGTAGTCGTGGTAGACTCCGGGACATGCGGCGATGTAGCCGTCGGGAGCCTGACACGTCAGAGGTGTTAAGGGCCGTGCAGGTCGGCCAATTCGAGCGGGTGGTGAGCATGCCTAGAGTATCGTCGGCCGAGGACTTTGAAAAAGCGCACCTCATGGCTGACTGGTCACATGCAGCACGAATGTCCTGAACTTCGTCGGATGGGCAGTCGGACGCGGGACTTGCGTCGCTAGTGGTCGGACATGATGTTGTAGGAAACGTAGTCAGGGAATTCATTGGAGAGTTTCGGGCCGGGGGGTACCGCAAGCTGCGATGTAGGGGAAACCTGGAAGTCGCGGGTGAACGGAAGCGGATGATAGGTGAGGCCGTAGGAGGCCAGCACCGCAGAGCAGAGGTCATCGTAAGGCGGCGGGCTGGAGCTTGAAGGGCAGAGAGATGACGCAGCTCAACCGGAAGGGCGTCGAGAAGAACGGCGTACATCAGCGGCTGGTCCGTAACGCCATTGACTGCAAGAACGGCGTCGAGCTGCATAAACCATACCTTGGGGTAGCTCGATCGGAACGGCGGCACTTGCGAGCAGAGTCGCGGGAACATGGCAGCCGATGGCTCGTCGAAGGGCGCGTTCTTCGGGTCATCATATGTCGAGGAAGGAGAGGCGAGACGGCGGCGACGAACCCGTGCCGAGGTCACAGCTTTATTTGAGACGCAGGCGTAGGCGGAGTCGCCGCTGCAGCGTCCAGCTGCAGGTCAGGAGCTAAGCCGTTCTGAAATACCTCGTGGCTCGCGCTACACTAGCTACGCGGCTCACTTCTTTTTCGGCGCGGCCACTTAGCCAAATCTAGCGTGGCGCTACAACATGTTTAATAATATAGACAGTTCAACGAAGCTGATGATACTTCAATAATAGATGAACTGGCCTTTTGTTTTGAGAAGTTTGAAAAACTTAGTCAAGATGAATGTGAACTTATCGATGAGTTGTGGTTAAACTTTAAGGGAACGGTTCACAAATGTATAAGCCGCTATGTGCCTCTCGAAAGTAAATCAAAACGTGTGCACAGCCCATGGAAAACGAGAGAGATCAAACAACTGAAAAGAAAAGTGGCAAGGTGTAGGCCAATTTATAAGCGTACACACGATTCCGCTGCTCATGATGACATGTCAAACTTAAGTAAACAGTGAAAATTAATGTTGAAGGAATCTAAGGACAAGTATTGTGGTGTCACCGCGGATACATTTTTTACGCAAATCACATCAAAAGTTTTGGAGGCACCTGGCTTCAACTAAGAAGGCAGTCACTAAAATAAGCACAGAGCAAGGACCTATTGAGAATAAATGTGATATAGCAGACGCCTTCAGTGACTTTTTTGCTAGTGTCTTCACCAATGTTGATCGAAAGCAGTCAAAATTTGAGGTACACCAACAACTTCCAGTTGCAGAGGAATTGTGGTTAACATATGAAGGAGTATTAAATTTGCTGCAGAACCTAAATACAAAGAAAGCGGAAGGTACTGATGAGATACCCAATTTGTTTTTAAAGAGGTATGCTGAATGGACTGCGAAGTACCTCTTCATTATCTTCACGAAGTCACTGCGGTCAGGTACACTTCCTGAAAAATGAAAAATGAGTAAAGTTACACCCGTATTTAAAGACGGTGACACCACGTCTACTGCCAACTATAGGCTCATTGCGCTAACGCCAGGCTGCTGTAAGGTGTGAGAACATATTATTTCTAAGTACGTTCGGCTGTTTTTGTCACAGAACGAAATTATTAGTAACTATCAACATAGGTTTCGCGAGGGTTCGTCAACCGTTACACAATTACTGGAAAACGTTCACAATTTTAGTAAAGCTATTGATGGCAAAGAACAAATAGATCTGATCTTTCTCTACTTCAAGAAGACCTTCGATAAGGTTAATCAAGAAAACTGTTAATTAAATTAAATGCTATTCTAGGAGATACAGATGTAGTCAAATGGGTAGAAGACTTTCTTACTTATCGCCGACAGTTCGTCAGTGTTGATGAAAATAAGTCCGGGGTCTGTGATGTGAGATCAGGGGTGCCTTAAGGCTCAGTTCTTGGGCCTCTGTTGTTCCTGGTATATATTAACGACCTGATAGAAGAATCGGCCGTAGTTACAGCAAGGTTATTCGCAGATGACTGTGTCATATATACAGAGGTGAAATCTATGAGTGACCAGATACTTTTAAATAACTTCTTAGAAAATTATCAACAATGGTGCGACATGTGGCAGATGTCTCTTAACGTTGCAAAGACAGTATGTATGAACATCACACACAAACATGAACCTCTGTCATTCACATTCATTCTACAAGGAGAACCACTTCATCGCGTAAAATAGCACAAATATCTCGGAATTTTATTAACATACGACCTTAGTTGGATACCACACATTAAAAAAGTTGTAGCGAAAGCCAACCAAAGATTAGGTTATATTTGACGTGTCCTTGAATGGCTTCTCCAGCCACGAAATTGACTGCTTATAAATTGCTTGTGCGCCCAATATTAGAACATGCATGTGAAGTGTGAGATCCGTATTTGAAAGATTCTGAGTCAAAACTAGAACAAGTTCAAAGACATGCATTGCAGTTTATTTATTCCCGATACCGTCGACAAGACGCCGTTACACCACTTTACGCGAGGGCAAACTTGCCCCTACTTAACGTCAGGAGGAAGGAGAAAAGTCTTGGCTTTTTCTATTTAATCATTGATGAGCTGCTACTTGTTGATAAGTCTCGCTACATAAATGAATCTAAGACCCGCATAGTGCGAAACAAACATAGTGGGCACGTTAAGGAAAATTGATTTCACAAGAATTGCTACAAATACTCATTCTTCCTTTCTACAGCACGTGACTGCAATTGTCTCCCTGTGAATATTGTAAACTCAGGAACTCGTGATCAGTTTTCTGCACTTGTGTCCGAATATTTACGACAATAGGGTATATATCACTGTATTGCTGTATTCTATTGTTTCGTTGACTGCTTGCTGTTTGTTGATGTATTGTTACCACTCCTGTTTCGGTCCTGATGAGGACCGACAGTATCTGTAAATAAAATAAGTAAATGATACCCTGTCCCATTCCCCGCCAAGAACCGGTTTGTTTTTTCTAGTTGAAAGACGGGAACTCATTGTATTTCTAGAGCTTCGTATTGAGAACATCATCAACAGACGAGAGGCTAGGACTGGCTTTTTTTTTAGGGGTGGAGCTCCTTAAAGTGGCACCCGTTCGTCCCTCGTCGTAGTCGTAGTGCGTAACCAGTCTTAAGTTTTCACCTGAAAGGTGGTGCTGGTGGGAGCGTTCTCCTGTGCATTGTTGAACGATAAAAAAATCACAGCGTGCGCGTTACCTAAACGCCGAATTCTCCTGTCTCTCATTACCCCTTAGCAGCCATTGGCATGTACATTGAGCACTATCTGACAAGAAAGGGTTGCTACGTTATACTCGCTGGGCGTAACCTCCTTGGTTTTAGAAAGGTTTAGCGAGCGTTGGGCCGCAGTGCCATGAATACAGTCAACTAGTATATACCATGAACCGAGGTGGTTAAAGGCGGGAAGTAGACACGAAGCGCAAGCCGCAAGAAAGTGTGCGTGTGCCACCTCTCGTTTAGTCCTTGGAATGTCCGCTGGATGGCGGTGCTCCTATATGCCGAATATATTATGAAAAGATGCAAGATGGTGGTACTTGGAGTGTTGGCTAGATGGACGAACGGACACACAGGCAGATGCATGGACGGACGCACAGATGGCTGCAAGGACGGATGAACGCATGGACGGACGCAGGGGCGGATGCATGGACGAACGCAGGGACGGACGCACGGATGGACGTGCGGACGCACGAACAGACGCACGCATGGGTAGTCACACAGACGGATGCATGGACGGACGGAAGCAAGAACGAATGGACGGACGCATGCATCGCCCCACTCTCCATCATTCACCCCGTGGATATGATGCCATTTTTTAGATTGAACGTCTGCAGTCTTCAAGGACTATTACCACTGAAAGAAGTACATTAAGACGCAGAGCGCTGTCTGACCAGCTTCCTAATGCCGACAAAGCTTCTGAGCTAGATAGTGTAGTTCAAATTAATTCTATACAGAGGGCAAACGTGTTGATAAAATAGTTTTTTTAGTGCTTTGAAGAATCCGTTTTTGTTGTTGGTGAGGTCGAGTTGGTATACTATTTTGGACAATGATGGAATGCTGGTGAGAACACGGTGTACTGGTGAACATTGTGTTCGGCACATTGACGAGTTGTGTGAGTTGTGAATGTGCCGCACTGATCACTTGTTCACTTTTATGTGCACTTGTCTCCTGTTCGTGCTCAGTTTCTTTTTTACTTTTGGTCGCAAAATTTGATGCGAACACCCTTTAACGGTAAAACGCAGTTCTTGAGGTTATATTAGCGACAGAATACAGAAATCACAAACTTTTGCTCCATTGGGCGTGATATATTGTCGTCATCCTGTAGTACAGAATTGCATGCTCACCTTCCGGAGCACGCGCTTGCATTCACTGATGATCTTCTTCCCGTCAATGGCAGTGCACAGCACATACGTGATCACTACAGCATCGAAGTGGCCGTCTGGCAGCATGTGCATGTCTTCGCCGTGTCCGCGAAGAGTACGCACCAATTCAACCTACGAAAAAAAATACAACGCAAACATAGTATGAAAACTCTCACTGAAGTGATGGAAGAGCAGTTAGGGAAGTCTGAGGAAGCAATAGAATGACAAACATGAGCTTGATTTAACTTGCACTGTAACTCGTGTCTTTGACTGAGTTACAGTGCAATTGACCGAATCGTCTTGTAACAGTATTGTAGCTGAATGTGGCTCGTGCTCCACGTGCTATGTTCGTTGTGTGTTCCATCCGTATATCTTTTGTTATCAATCAAAACAGCTTCTAGTCAGCTCTCTTGTTTGCCATTCTGCTGCTTCCTCAGTATCACTTTACCTTTCTCTCCATGCTTCTTCGGCAGCGCACATTTTCCGCCAAGTACTGTTGCATGTGCATAAAGCCATTTGTTTACAATATTTTTATAGACATGTGGCCCCGCATGTGTCTACGTACGTGCCTATATTGCGCCTGCACGTTCTCCACATGCGAGTACAAAAGTTACAGAATTGAACCATTTACCACACACAGTAAATAACACATTTCGTTTCTATGCTCTCTAGTACAACCGCATTCAAACAGGGGCAATGCTAGTTCCCGTGGCAGCTTGATGATATCATAAGTTAAAGCGACACAGAGCCAGCAGTAAATAATGCATAACGCTCTGCGTCAAACACGGTTGTAAACCTGGCTAGAAATGTTCTTACGGGTATGTAAATTTTACAGAGCTCATCAACGGTTTTCGATGCGATGAGGTTTTCGCAGACAACACGGAATGATGAAACTAATAAATTGTAGGTGTAGAAATATGGTAGAGGGCACACACAGCCATCTTCAAATCACACGTAGTAGGTAGCTTGCACGAGAGACATCAATTAAAAGATAATTGATACTTGGCAGTTGCAGTTCTTTAACGTAGTACTTGGCGAAGTGTTGAACGCTGTTATAGCGCATTCACCACATCGACTCACGTGGCTGTGATTGTGCCTGTTCTAATGGTGCTTTGAAACGTTATTATACGAAATGGACCTAATATGCGGATTTTTCAATAAGTCATCGCGTGTTCTTTATTTTATGCCTTAATAGATCACCATATTGTCAACATTATGTAGGTAAAAAAGGCTCAAGTAGCTACTGCCACGAATTTCAGCTACGGAGGGAAATAAAGAGCCAAAAAGCAAAAAATAAAGTTTATGTTGTTTGTGAACATGCAAACCAGAATTAGGATTTATCCGTACGCAGCCGTTTTTGCAAACAGAAAATGCTGCCACTGCTGGCCCCATGTGGGACCTCACGCAATAAGGAGCACGAGCAAAAACAACCTACATAACAGTTGCAAACGTAGTGATTTAATGTCATTTAAAGTTGCAGAACATTCTATTACAACATACACTAGGAAGAGACATCTTCATAGATATAATGAAAGATGGTGTAAATACCACACACCCACACAGCAAAAAATGAAACAGGCTCTGCAACACTTTTTTAAGTAGCCATGGAACAGGTTCTCCAAAGAAGCTTATAGCGTCACGAATTCCCTGCAGAAAACATTTTTTAGGATACGTCTGGTACAAGCGGAGTTTTTCTTCTTCGAATGCGTGGCTAATTGAGAAATGAAATGCAACTCAGAAATAGTCTCACTCACTTCACACGATGGTAACAAAACTGTATTTGGTGGCGTGGCCTTAGGGCGCACCGGTGTACTTTTAAATCCTGGCTAAAGATAGTTGGGGCACCCTGTATATGTGACGCTATGATGACTGGGAGACGTGGTCTGGCTCATACGCCATGTTTATTCTATTCTCACTTCCTCCTCTGCTTCTACCAACCATCGCTTCATACGTCACACGATTCCACCTTCCCCCGAAAGAAGGTATAGATTACGAACAAGAATTATTAAACAAGGAGAGATTGAAAAGTCACAAATTTCAAAATTCATAATCGGTTCTATGCTTCAGGGGAGTTCCGTAATTTTTCAAAGACTTCAGGAGATAGTGCAGCAGTCCGGTTTACGCAGGAGTTCTGGTGGGTGAGGCTGACTGTGGCGTTCTGGAGATGATAACCGCGTCCTGCACAACTGCACTGACCATGACACGGCTTCAGCAGCTGCGAAGAACCAACGAGGCTGGACGTCCTTGTAGCATTTGAAGTTCGGATGTTGAAGGTGTCGAGTTGTGTCTCGTGACGGGAACAGACGGTGTGCTTCTAGTTTGCATGTGCTATGGTAGCAGCTCATTAAATCAGAATGATGTCTTGGTCTCTGCGTTCTACAGATGATGGTGCCTTCTCGTCTCTTTCGTCGTTTTTTGTGGTTTCGGAGCAGTAATCGTAGGCGCAGTCTTGATCTCTTGCGCCAAATGCGTTCCTGGCGCCGATCCCTTATGCGAAGATGCTTGACGTCTTGAATTTGTTTTAAGAAGTTTACTTTGCGTCGTCGTCCTTGTCGGTGTATCCGTCGAACTGTCTGCGATTCTTGGACTTGCTTTTGCTGGCGTTGCTGTTGGTGCTGTGGAACGCATTGCGGTGAGATCCCTTCTTGAACATCGCGCTGGTTTCCCTGACAACTTGATGTGGTGCCCAGTCGGCAGCTGGTAGTCTGTGGGCTGTTGTCATGCAGTTCGGGCAATGAAGATAATGCTTCAGAGTTGGTAGAAAGTTCCTCAGAAGCTCCTTCCACCCTGTTCACTACGAGAGGCTCTTGCGCATTGCAACGTGCGACGTTCGATGCGTCTGAGTCTTCGGTGTTGCTTCGACTGTCGAGGGTGTACGCACCGGACGGCGATGCATGAACCCTTGCGAAGGGAGCATGGCTTGAAATGGTAATTTCCCGGTGCGTCAGCTCGTCTATCGTGAACACGGCGTCCTTATTAGGCAAACGGCGAGCGTCAGGAGCACTTAAAGAGCCGCGTGATTGAAGCCTGGGTGGTAGACAACGTATTCGAGACGAAGAATGAAGTGCATTAGGTGGGTAAGCAACATCTCGTGTCGTTCGCTGGAGCGACGACTTTGAAAACACCAGCTGTCGTGAAGAGGAACGTGGTGGAAGGCTATGTTCCTTGAGAAATGAGTGCAGATTGTGACGGCCGAGTGTTGTTGTGTGCAGACGGTCGGTAATGAGGAAGGCCTCGTCGTAGTCGTTAAACGGTTAATCACCTCTTCTCTGATCTTTTGCCATGATTCGTCGTTTTCGAATATGTGTGTCTGGTAAAAATGCCTCACCGGAGATGTAGTCAGTGAAGTTGGCGATCATCTCCCATTCCGACCTTGATGCAGCGGTAGCGTGGAGCTCGAACAGGTCGAACCAGTCCTGTACAGGTCCATCGTCCACTGCTCCGGTGTACTTGGGGATGGGAAGGTCAGTCGATGGTTCTGTCATGATGCCGGTAACTGCATGCGCCTGAGATCACCTCTTCTGTGGTCGATATTTAGTTGAGGCGTATTGTCGGTAGCTTCATGAACGATTTGAGGCTGATGAGTGGCGGCCAGGTCTTCATCCTGTCGACTCGTGCGACACTATGATGACTGGGAGACGTGGCCTGGCTCATATGCCATGTCTTGTCTTGTCTTGTCGGCTAGGAGATCTTGGCTCATACCCACATGGAGGATTGGCCACACTGTACCTCATAATAGATCATTTTTGCAACGCTCGCTAAAAAAAAGAAAGAGAAATTAGATAGGAACAATAATAATGTTCCTTTGAAAAAAAACGTGAAAAAGTGCAGAAGAATGTGATAAACCAGAATATATAAAAGAAATTAACAAGAATGAGGAAGGGGGAGAGAGAATTGGATATATCTGGCAGTACCACTAGCAGCGTATCCTTCCGGTTGCCTGAATGAATTTATGTAGCGCTGACAGAATAGCACTGCGGACCACACCCAACTGACTGGCTCCAAACGATAATAGGGTGGATGTATTGACTGGCAATCCGAGCTTACCAATTGGTCTTTCAAGAATTATTCGGCGCAGTGAGGCGAAGCGGCGGTATGTGAGAAGAAAGTGATCTATTGTTTCCGGTTAATTGCAAACTGCACATAGGTTAGTTAATGAAAATCCGCATTTGTTGAGATAAAAATTTAACCGAGGAACTCTACAGCGAAAGCTTGTGAGGGTCACCTCACATTGACAGGAAAGGCATTTTGCGGTGTTGCATGTGAATTGCAAGTGCCGAAATTCTTCAGATTGTAGAAGCGACGTTTCGTTGATTTTTAAGATGTTTATTCTATTCTCACTTCTTCCTCTTCAACTTCTACCAACCATCGCTTCATACGTCACATATATATATATGGGTCACTGCATATTGAGTGTAGCAGGTAAATATTTGACTATTTCCGTCAATTCTTTAGAAAATGTGCTCATATATGTGGATATTAGAAGTAGGTATGGAAGCGTTATTTCGCGAAAACATTTGTTTTGCCTAGAGGACGCTGTGAGTTTCAAATACCGAATTGATACTCTGTCGCGCTAAATAATTTATATAAATTATTGGTTTGAGAACTTAATACAAAACATTTTTTCACTGTATCTCAAGGCCTTGGCCTTTCATGACTATTATAGTTTGTTCATTTTTGTTTCAACACACAAGAAAAGGAATTAAAATATGCCACATGTTCAGCATAAAAAATCACTGCTTTTTAGTGAGTAAGATATTCACATCATGTGTTTTCAAGGCACCAGTAATAAATGATAGAAATGGTTCGGGAGTGAATAAAGTACAAATATTGAGAAAATGTTGGGACAATTGTGAAAAAAAATAGCATTTTGACTCATATTGCGTCTTCACTTTCACAATCTAGTGGTCCAAATAAAAATATGAGTTGTATATTGACGCAAGATTCATTTAAAGTTCGCGCGCCAGTCATTTGCTATGCCCTCAATATTGTGTGCATGCGAAACAGAGCAGGCAACGCGCCAGTGGGGACTGCCAGGATCGACACTGACAACTCAGGCACGTGCGAGTTGCGCGGGATAAGAGAAGAAGACGAGGTGCCGAACTTGGAAGAAGCTAAGTTGTTCTCGACAT